CTTCAACATTTTTTCAACGGAATAAATTTTTTTTGTCATCATTCTCTAATCTAGAATTTTAAATATACTGTTCTACACCATATCCAACTACATTTTTTTCTTAATTAAGTATATTTTGACAATAGTAATAATATAAAGGATGTCAGAAATTCCTGCTACGAAATTATAGCCTCATAGTAGATAATTTTATTTATTTTTATTTTAAAAGAATCAAAAAAAAAAAAAAAAATTATAACTCAAATCGTATTACCTTTATTCTGATGCTATTTGCTATATAGTGGACAGCTAGTCATTTTTTCAAGTTAACTGTTAACCGAGCTTATATTCAAAAAACGTAAATATTGGCCTCAATTTTGTTCAAATCTAAACAAATACTACTGGTTTTAAAGCGTGCCTGTCCTTCTCACTCAATAAAACAAGCAGAGCTCGTTACTTAACAAACCTGGTTAAATCCTATCTTTATTTTGAATGTCAACCAAAGTTAAGGCAAATATTTACAGAGGAAATGAAAAAGTTGAGAGGCTCCTCCCTTTACGCGTTGTCCGATAACAAAATTATTATTTATATTATTTGTTATATAAGTTTTCTCATGTTTTTTGTAGCGAAGTTTTTTCTTCTTCTCGACAATCTAAAATGTTTAACACGTTCACGTCCGGCGTGACCCACCGATGGGTCACGTTAGATTGTCTCATCTTGGCGGCGCACCAGAGTAAAAACTGGTAACAAATAAATTTCATTTTTTAGTTTTTTTCCGGGAATAATAAAAATCCATAACTACCAATTTTTATATTGAAATGCTTCTTCGCCGTGATAAATTTCCTTACAGTGAATTGTTATTGTTGAGAATAGATTAACTCCTCCCGAATATTATCTAATATTGAAATAGTTCTTCTACCAGTATTTTCACTTTTCCCGGCGTGAACGTGTTGAAACATTTTCTCTTGTCTGGAGAAGTGTATGTGGATTTGAGTAGTCCATATCAATAATTTATTGGGCTTTTATCCTTTTCTTTTGTGATGATAATTGTAAATATCGATGCATTGTCATCTATGAATGTCACTAGGTTTTACAACACAAAAAACTGAGAACTTTCTATAGAAGAGTATAAACTATTAAAAATTCCGTTTTAAGGAATTTTTCTTCTTGTGATGACCAAACGTCCTCAAATCTTGAGAACAGACATCGAATTTCATTGAGTGTCTTCAAAAACTTTCGAACTCTTTGAGGACAGAAAATGTTTCCAAATTTTTACGTGTTCACAAATGTCCACGAATTTTTCCGAAAACATATGATCTTTTCTTTTCTATGCTGTGAAATATCAAAATAATAATAAAAATAAGTGAATAATAATAAATAAAAAATGTGCTTTTTCTTTTAACAAGATAGTTTTGTCTTACAGCGAATACAAGCGAAAAATCATCATGCTGAGCTGAAACTAACAGACGAAAGCGCAATACTTGTCTTGAAATGATTTTAGTAAAAAATAAACAAATTTTAATTTACCGAAGTATATTTCATGACTGCTTATTAATAAAATCAAGTTTGGTTAAGATGGTTCTGCCCCTGATATTTCTCATTATAATTTTTTTTTGAAAAAAAATCCTTATTGCATATACAAATTAATATTTTCCATAAATGTGTGGTGTCTTCGAATCGCAAAATGTTTCAAGTACGCTCCGCTGATTTGTTCTAAAATCATTGTGAATTAATCTAGTCACCTTATTTTAGTGTACAAACTTGTTACATAATCTATTCTCACCAACTTAGAGGAAATAAGATCCATATACTCACGGGCCTCTTCCTCGAAGCACAAAATATTTTATTTTCATACTTCAGAATTTTTGCAGAACCTTTGTTTAAAATTGTAACTTAACTTTGCGCGATGTACAGTAAATTTCGTAAGGATGGTCACGTCTATCTAATACAATGCTAATATCGCTCTTCTTATTAATCGCTGTGCGCAAGCTGATATAACTTGACAACTTGCGCATCAGGCGCAACTCATTCTCACTGCAAACAGCAGGGCTGATTGTGCTCCGGAAAAAATCCGGATTTCTGGATTTTTCGCTAACCGTGATCCGGAAGTTTCCGGAGATCGAAGGTCCTGACGTTTCAAAAAATCATTGATCACAAAATTTTCCGGAAATCAAATTTTGAAAGGTGGAACTTAAAAGCACAGTTTATTTTATTTGTTTGTAAGGGAGAGCCAGGTACTTCATAAGCTTTATATTCAAGATTAATATAAATTTTTTATCAGTAAATAGTTATAATCATAAACTCAAGAAAGAAAGAAAGACATATTTGTAAATTTCATTTACTTCTCCAGGTTATAGGTATGTGTAAATGGTCTAAGTAAGTTGTAAAATTTTAAATATACTTTTAGTAAACTAAGAAAGATTGAGAAAAAGGAAAAAATCTTTGTTTAAATTTTCTTTCCATTTAAACTGTATTTTTTTTTTTTTTTTTTTTTTTTTTTTTTTTTTTTTTTTTTTTTNTCAAGAAATTTTCTGGAATTTTGACTTGGACTCACAATCACCCCTGAAACAAGCTAACTAGTTTGTTTTATTGCAATAATCACGAAACTGCCCGCAAAGGCCCTAGATGCTTAAACTGCATAATTTCAGTCTTGCAGCAAAAACTAACAGTAAAAAACTTCTTTTTCTAAACTGAAAGCTGATATTGTACTCAGTCCTGTTAGTCATAATGGTTTAACCTGGGTGCCGGGGGCCGAAGTAGCCCTTTACTTATTCATCATGAAATATGGAGGTAAAACCTTGAGGTGACATAAACGGAGTAAAGTTGGGAAGAAATGAGCACAATTGCTCGGTAAAGTCCAAAGGACAAAATGAAAATCTGGAAAAGCATGGTATGGTGACAGGAAAAAGAGTTGTGAGTAGTCAATAATCTTGAAGTCCGCTGTACTTACTTTGCTTGAAGCTTACTGTACTTATCTCGCTGTTAAGATTAATACTTTTCGGCGATGAGGTAGTTAGCATCATAGACTCCTCTACTAACTTGATGCGATAGCTGTTGAGGACAAACGGATTTAAACGCAAATGACCGCAAACAGTTTAACAGTGAGCCTAATTGCTACTACCGATAAACCACCACAGAAATTACGTTCTTTGGTCAAACTGCTACAACAATTCTTCTCAGTGTGTTCACTTTGTCCGGGTTTGAAAACCACATCTTGAATATCTGTTATAAAAACGTGTTAGTTAATGACTCGCAGAAGTAATGCATTCTGTAATACTTGCTTCGTAGACACACGAAGGAAGAAGGAATTATAACGGCAGCATGAGGTGGACGGTAAGACGCTTGAATGGTAACCGAAACTCATTGGACATTATCCGCAGGAAAGTGACCTGAACCCCCGACTCGCGGCCAACAGGCACGCCTGTCTCCAAAGACGTATAAGTCTCGAATGATATAGCACTACTCGTTTTTCAAAATACGACGGTTGTCCATAAAATAAGGTTCCCAACGAATTTTCACAATGAAAAACATGTTTATTGGCATTGAATAATACATGTTTGGAAAGCTTAGACTTCCCTATTTTTTTCGACATAATCGCCGATAAGATCAATGCATTTTTACATGCAGTGTACCATGTTCTTTATGCCTGAGTCGTAGAAATCTGCCGCTGAGCCGCGAAGATAGCTTGAAATCTCTTCCTTCAGCTCTTCGTCGGTTGTGAAATGCGTCCCTCCCAAGTGTTTCTTTAATTCAGGGAAGAGATTGTAATCACTGGGGGCCAATTCTGGGCTGTAAGGGGGGTGTGACAGTATTCCATCCAAATCTGTTGATGAGATCAGTTGTGACACGGGCGGTATGTGAACGAGCGTTGTCCTGATGGAGACACACTCCAATTGTGAGCGTGCCTTTTCTCTTGTTTTGAATCGCGCACCGAAGGTTCTTCAACGTCCGACAGTAGCGATACGCATTAATTGTTGTGCCCGTTGGCAGGAATTCGCACAACAGCAACCCTTTCCTGTCCCAAAAGACATTCGCCATCACTTTGCTGGCGCTTAAACTTCTTCGGCTTCGGCGAGCCTGGATGTTTCGACTGACAGGATTGTTTTTTTGTTTCCGGTGTCATGTAGTGAACCCAGGTCTCGTCCCCCAGTGACAACAGAGTCAAAAAATTCCTCGTCATCGGTTTCGTAGGCATGGAGAAATTCGCGGACTGCTTCCACACGTTGCCGTTTGTTGTCATCCGTCAGCATTATCGGGACCCACCTTGCACAAACCTTGGCATATCCTAAGCGGTCTCTCAAAATGTTGTGAATGCAGGACTTACTGACATCAGGGATCATCTCGCTGAGGTCCCAAACCGTCACCATCCGATCTTTCAGCATTGCTTCTTCCACTTTCGCAATCGCTTCGTCTGAAAACGATGACCGGCCAGAATGTTGTTCGTCATGGAAGTCTGTACGTCCATCTTTGAATTCTCTGCACCATTTGCGCACATGTTGCACACTCATACACTTTTCCCCGTGAGCTTCACACAGTTGGGAATGAATGTCCACCGGAGGAACGTTTTTTGCACACAAAAACAAATCACAGAGCGTAATTCACACCTGGCGGGAGAAACAAATAGAAGCTCCATCTTTCACGGCTACCAAGACAAGGATTAACGTTGTAGATAGCTCGCCGGGGCGGGAACTGGGGGAAAGGGAGCCAAGTTACACGCCAGTCCCACCCAACCCCGCTTAACAGCGTTCCTAACGTCCGCAGCTCCAACCTTATTTTATGGACAACCCTCGTATATAAAATATAAATTCTATCTATTTCATTGGTGGACCTTATTTCATTGGTGGACTGGTGGATTTTGAAAAACATGTTTTGTAACCTTAATTTTGAACATCGTTGTATTATAAAGATCTTAAAGTGTTAGATCTAATTTTATCATCTTTCATATGTTCTCAATTTATGTTTTCCTGTTCGTGTGAGTTGTTATGAATCTTATCTTACCTAATGTTACTTTTTTTTATCCATAGATATTCATCATCAGTGCAGAAATATTTTTCTTCATATCTTGAATGTCATATCAAACCTATCGTCATATTTGATGGAGGTTACGACACATCTAATCGAAAGTTAAGAACAAATTTATTAAGATCTAAGTCAAGATTGACTCTAACTCAACAAATCGCAAAATACGGAGATTGTGCTGGAAATGTTTTACCCATAAATGCTCAAGAGGTATTTCGATGTGTGCTATCGGAGATGAATATACCTTTCGCCCAATGCGACTTTGAAGCTGACGACCAGGTGACTGCACTCGCAAACTACTACCAATGCCCTGTCCTCAGTGATGATAGTGACTTTTTTATTTTTGATGTTAAGAAAGGTTTTATAAGACTATCCTCAATAGAAACTACAGTATGCTTAGGAACAGCTAACAACGGATTTCAATTCAAGTACCTAAAATGTGACATTTATTATATTGATAAATTTCTTTCTTTTTTTCCTGGTATTGATCGAAGTGTTCTTCCTTTATTTGGTACTTTAGTTGGAAACGATTTTGCTAACACCAAAGACTTTGAAACTTTCTTTTCAAATATTCAGTTACCTAAGCAGAAGTACAAAGGCCTAAAAATCAATCAGGGGCAACGGAGAATTATTGGCCTTCTATCCTGGCTGCAATGTTACAACCTCGAAGAGGGCATAAAACAAGTAATTTGTCGTCTCAAAAAAGAAAGACGAGAGAAGGTTAAATATATGATCGATAATTCTGTTAATGGTTACAGAATAGAATCGTGCAATTTAATACATGTCTTAAATGGCGATGCATCTCTTTGTTCTAAAGAATTAATGCTAAACTCTCGGATTATTTTACCGTGTGGTAAAAAATTGCCTATCCAGTTTATCATCTCTTTTCATCAAGGGTCTCTCCCATCTTTCTTTCTGAATGTGGTTAATCTGCATCGAATATTTTTACCAGCTCAGGTCGAAAATACCCACCTGGAAAGCAGTTTTGTATGTTCTCGCTATATTCGTCAAATATTGTATGGCATACTTTTGCAGCATGAATTTGCCAACTCCGAAGAGCATACCAATTTGTGCCTTAAATCTGTTGAAGAATACGATCGCCGATGTGGAAGTGTTCAGCGTTTCTTAGTTGAACCTATTTTCAACCTGGCAAATGGAAATCCTCTTCCGATGTTGAATCATCTTTACGATTTAGAAGAGGATTATCTGCATGATTTATTGTTAGATGTAATTGACTGCCAAAAGTCATTCATCTTTTTATTACCAAACAATTTAAAATTATTGTTTGGATCCATAATTTATTGGCTAAAGAACTGCACACCCGCTCCTTGCGAAGAGTTCCTATACGCCTTAATTTTATGTGTGATACACTTAAACCTGCTGTTGCCAAAATCCAAGGAGGTAATTCAAAAGAAAATGGAGCGATGTAGTGATGATTTCAAAAACATACGATCATTGGTAAAAACAATATCATCTTCTGATGCTTTGGTAGCTACCAAAAATATGAAAAAATATTTGCAAAAACCCACATTCAATCGGGCGAATCCTCTTATTCTTCATATAGTACATAGCTACAGTCAATTTCAAACATGCGTACTATACATTTCCTATTTAAATATGTTGCTGCGTTCTCCATTTGAAAATCCCAAGTTACACGAGTGTCTCTGTGGTACTATGATTTACAATTTGACCAAAGAGATACTTTCTCGGCCATATCCCGATTTATTCGTATCAGAATTTTTAGGTAGGCAATCAAACGTAGCCATATTATTTAATACATTAAAGGATGAATTACTGAGGAATGTACCCTGTGAAAGCTACGTAAAAATCGATCGCTCCGAAAATCAAACTAAAAAATCTTGCTCCATAAAGAAAAAATCGCAAATTCAAAAAACTAGTGAGAAATGTGATCCAAACGTAGAACTAAATTATAACGAGTTTGGACAACTGTCTTTATTTGATGGTGAACTAAATGGTGATTGTACTGAAGTCTATATATAAAATTATTTATATTTTCTTGCTTCTTCGTATGTATTTTGTTTAATTAATTTTCCTTACTGTCCTGTTCTGTCCCCATATCTTTAGCTTCTAATTTTTTTCTCCTCAAAACTTCCGCAACTTCCGTAACTTCCGCAACTTCCTCAAAAATTAATAAATAATATTCTACAGCCCTTCCTAAAAACTAATAAAAAATTTGGTCCGTTGGTTTAAAGAGACTTTAGGCTCCAAATTTGCTCAATCAGCATGTAAATGTTTCTTCATATTTCTAGTCACTAAAAAATTTTTCAGTATTATTTTTCAGCAAACACTAAATCTTTATTGTAAAAAAAAATATAGGACGTCGAAATTTGAACATATTCCGTTTTATTCCAAACTAGATGTACTTTTTGTCATTTTTGTTAAATTTATATCGAAGCCATCAGATTTCGATTGTTGGTGTAACTTTAGAAAATATTACATTTTAATATATAAAGTGCAGAACTTTATAGTACAACATTCTTATATGCCTCTACTACTACAAAAAAAAAGTTTAATAAAAATTTAAACTTACGACAGTAGAAATGTGGCTAGAATCTATACCTGCCTTAAAAATGAAAGGCGGAGAGGGATTTTAAAAAAAAGAGCAAAAAACTGTCATTCAGGCACATCAAGTCCTGGAGCATGATACGGAGTCCCTTTCAAGTTCCCATTCCTAAATTTAATAAACTAAACTAAACTCAGCGGCGCGACAGCCCTTGAGAGCCAAGGCATACTGTGCCCATCTCAGTTTTCTTGACCTTGGGCTCTGGGGTGCTGGAGCAGATGTAATAGTTTCGACCAGAAAAATGTTGAAAGCTTATAGGCCCTTTATGTTATTATATCTAGGTAGGTAGGGAAGTTTTAAAGCGAATCGAAATTTTTTTCACACAATGATAAAATTCGTTTATCCAAGGATAACTTTATGTCGAAAATAAATTTTAATTGTTATATTATTTAATAAGGGTCGATAAAATATTGAGTTATAAGTTATAAAAAATTTTAAATTCTTTCTAAAATCTTTAGAAATTATGTAAATTTAAAAAACAAAATTTGGCCGGACAGTAGTTAGGAAAGGGGAATACGAGCACAGGGATTTCAGGGATTCCGAGGATTTTCGGGGATTCCGCTGGAGTACTCTTAACGGGGGTTGGGGTGATCAATCAAAGGGGAATACGAGCACAGGGATTCCGAGGATTTTCGGGGATTCCGCTGGAGTACTCTTAACGGGGGTTGGGGTGATCAATCAAATGTGACAGCTACTATAGTTAAGGGTGTTTTTTTTTAATTTTGTAATTAAATCTTTTTAATTATTACTTTTTATTTAATTTTTAGACTATTACTTCTTAATTTAATTCTTAATTATTACTTTTTCATTATTTTTTTTTTAATTTTTATTTTTAAATTATTTTTTTTTAAATCAGTTTTTTTAATTAATTTTTTAGATTTTGTAATTATTTTTCTAATCTTTATTTTATAATTAAATCTCTTTAATTATAACTTTTAATTTAATTTTTTAATTATTACTTTTAATTTAATTTTTTTTATTATTAGATACTTCTTAATTTAATTTTTAATTATTACTTTTTATTTAATTTTCAATTATTACTTTTTAATTATTTTTTTTTTAATCTTTTTTTTTAAAACTATTTTTTAATCAGTTTTTAATTAATTTTTTGGATTTTGTAATTATTTTTTTACCTTTATTTTCTAATTATTTTTTTTTCTGATATGAATGATATTTGAAAAAGGACACAAAAATGAAACCCGATGTCATACAATCAGGATTGAACATGAATCAGGCTTTATTAATAATCAGTCTGTAAGATGAAACATGAAAGTAATCTTTCGAACTTGAAAGCAATTTTGCAAGATAAGACATGCTTTCGTAGGGTAGAGTGATGTTATTTCTTCCATTCAATCAAAACAGGAATGCGTGACGTCAAACAACCAGGATTTAACATGAATATGAAGTACGCGTCTTCAAGATAAAGCATGCATCACTTTTGTGTGGTCTAGAAAGACGAAGTACATTGAAATGTTTCGCTAACTTCTTGTTCGGTCTTGTTTCATTAGATCATTCTCAAATGTTCCATGGGGGTGGAGTCAGAAAATTATGTCGTCATTTTCTGCCAATCAGAATAAATTTTACAGAACTAAAATAATGATATCATTTTTAACCTATCAGAACAAGCATTACATAGCAGCTCGCAATGCATTCTGGGTAGCCATCTACCGTTTAATAGGAGCTGTATTTGATCCCAGAACTCATTCTGAGTGTAGCATCTCCTTTCTCAGCTTTCTATTGTGCTCTTAGCTTTGCTTTCATTATTGTTATTAGTTATTGACTGTTATTTGTTGAAATGTTAAAGTTTTTCATTAATTATTTAACGTATTTCTGATTGCTTGATTTTTAAGTTAAATTTAATTTGTTTAATTGCCTAAAAATGACTCAAGAATTTGAAGATTTTTCTTTAAACGATGAATTGCGTGCCATCAGTGATTTTAGTGATCTCACGGCCTCTCAATTGGATGAAATGGTGAAAGAGGATCTAATGGAAGATAGCCGCATTACCTGTCTTCAATGCAATAAGAGTTTTACAACCCGGCCCAATATGCTACGACATCAGCGATCCATCCATGGAGGAACGCGACTTCAATGCCCAGAATGCCCAAAGACTTTTGCCAGGGCAGATAAGCTGAAATGTCATATCAACGTACACAAACGTAAAGCTACTATAGGTGTTTTACCCCCATCTAAGCGAATTAAGTTTCATGCAACAAATCAAAATTCCAGAGTGTTTTCAACGGAACCATCAACAAGCAATGCGACTGATACATTCCCAACAAGTAATGCTCCTGCTGAAGAAACATCCAACATAAAATTTAAATCAGCTTTGAACGGTAGAGTAAAGACATTATATTTAACGAATGATACTAATTATTTGGATCTAAAAGAATTTATCTTGTCTAAGCAAGAAAAGTTTAATGATGTGATATCAACAGAAATTCAAAATCAAGATCTGAAAGTTAATTGT